GCGGTTATAACATTATATTCCTACATGTAAGTATGAAGCTGCACAGGGTGCATATGGCTGCAAGGGGTAATGCTACCATAATCCTCCTGGTAGCACTCCTAGGGATTTGGCTAAAGTGCAGATCGAAGATCCACACGGACATAAACCTGAACAACAAACAAATGCACTTCACGCTCTTACAAATGGCTGAGGGTATGAAGCGTCTACATCTATCAAGAAAACATAACAACTTCATTTTCTCTCCAAAACGGATCAGCAGCAGTGGTGACAATGCAAAGAAACGCTGCCTTTCACAACAGGCTTATACTACTGACAGATGGTAGGTTGTATTCTCTTTCAAAGCACCCCAAGTATGTCTCGGTCCAACATGATATGCAGCATTATGAACAGATCTGTGAAATGCTTTAATCAAGAGAAATTGCTGCTCACCTGATACTACAATCCTACACGTCTAGTACTGTCAACTCACTTCTCGGCATGGTAGTAAAACGCTATTTTCCCTTTCCATAAGCCCTGCAAATACCACAGAAGTAATGAAACGTTAACTGAACTTATTTTTGCCAAAGAGAAGCTCTAACTTGCAACTGAATACTTTTCTGCCTAAAGAGACAGGATGACTGCATACTGTTGAAACTAAATGCAGCTTAAGAAGATAAAAGGGAATGATGCCTGTTCTCTTCAGTGGAAACCTCTGTCCATTGCATACAAGTTACTCAGATCACTTGCCAGAATTGCCTAATGAAAAATGGTGCCTCAAGTAATATAGTAAATATACAGATCTCTTTATATTAGAGCTCATTTATTTCATTATCACATTAGAAACATTTACAAAAAGCCAAGGAAGCAAGCAGCTCTTCAGGAATTCTCCAAAACATCATACAACTGGTTAAGTAAATACCACAAAAACATTTTCCTGGCCTTATCTGGGTATCTCTCTCTCACAAAATCCCTCTTACCTTGTTAGCTCTTCACGTAGATTGTTGGGCTCTGATGAGTAAAACTTTACACGAAAATGCAGACAATACGGTGGGCCAACTGCAAAGTAGAATTCATTCAAGACAGTGGTAACAGTTACTGGATGAGACTTTTTTTATTACACAGATTCACATCACAAAACTTGACTGAAATTGGCTCTGTCCTACCAGAAGGTCTTAAGGCAAGAAGTCCTTTGTGACAGGGAAATGCACTAAAAACATCAGGGTCAAAGGATGCTTAAATATATACACAAAATAGTTTTACATGTTACAAGTCAATCGAACAGTGATATCACATTAAGTTGATTCGTCCTGCCAAGAGCACATGAATCTAGGCTAATCCCTACATTTAAGGACTCTATCCATCACCAAGAAAGCTGTGCATGTTGTCTCTGCAGTTGACCAAACCCCCCAGCACTCTGTTGGTCTCTAATACCTTCCCAGGGCTCTGGGAAATACCCACTGCTGACAACTCAGGCCCCTTTACTCCACAGAAGTTTAGACATATTTTAGGGGGATTTAACAAACCCTTCTGTGAAAAACCACCTTTTTTGGAAACCAAAGAGTTAATTCAGCAAAAGGATGGATTAACCGTTCTTTAAAAATGTGCAGTGCTCTGCTGATTCTTGCATTTGACAGGAGGAATTTTCTCTCTCTCAGTGCTTCCAAACCCTCTGTTGTATTAACACAGCACCACAAATCCCTGAAGACTTCCCACAGCACAGGGCAAGGAAGCTGCTAAACAAAAATCAGCCACACTAAACCCTTGTGCAGCAGGTAAGGACTTGGCGGACTGAACACAGATTCAGGCATTCACGACTTCCCCAACAGATGGAGGCTCCAAGACAAGTTTTCCTGTAGTCAGGATAACAACCTATAACACTAAAACATCTTCAGCTGCCTTGACTCTATTTAAACTATAATTAATGAGCCTATAACATGTTTAATTACTAAAGTAATATAAGCTACAGGGGGAAGAGGTCATTAAACAATCGGCAGCACCACACTGGGTTTCTGTCACCAGGTCTTGTCATCCCTCACAGGACACTGCCCCCCACCACCCATTTCAACTCTCTGTGCCTCCTGTATGTTCAGTATGAGATCTCAAGAGAAAACAGAAAGGGCACTTACTTTTAACTTGCTTTTTAATGCTTTTTGTGTTGTCCAACCAATGCTGAAAAAGAAATTACCCCCATTGAATTATCAATAAAGAAATCTCACAGAAAGAACAAAAAAGGGAAGAAACCCTATTCATTAGTGAAGGCCATCTTGGAATAACAAGTATTTCATTAAAACAATCCAATCCAAATCTTTCATAATTCATCCTCTCTCAGTGCTCATCAAAGATCCTTTCACTCAAAGTTTGTAGTGCAAAGTATCAGTTTTGAACAACAGAAACATCCTGTAATACCTTATTTAAAGCCAATCTTCAAGAAAGCATTATCTACTTAAAAAAAAAAAAAAAGCACTGACAAACCACTTTAATTACTAAAACTTTCATCCTGTCCAAACAAATACTTAATTCACACATTAGTAGGTCAGCCAGTGACAATGTGCCAGAGAAGCATAAATCATAGCTGGAGACTCTGGCACTCAGTTGTGTGTGATGTTTACTCGGGAAGGGGAGAGACAAAATAAATACTGTTGGCTTTCAGGCATTTTCTTTAGATGACTCAAGTGTAGTAACAGCAAAGCTGTCTATGTCTGGACATAAGGGTCAGCTCAACCTAATTCTCTGAAATCTATTCCCAGGTGACATTTTAGCAACTGTCACGTGGAAGGACAGAAGTTACTGCCTCACCTACTAATGCTAATTATAAGCTATATACTAGATGTGAAGCCAAAATAATGACTTCTCTTACACTGCATACAACAGCATGTGAAAAACAAGCTATAGATGGCAGGTCGAGAGAAACATCTACACATACAAGCTATGCTCCCTACAATAACTGCATATACTCCCACTGCTGAAGAATTTATACCAGGAATTAAAGATAAAACTGGAAAGCTAACACACAGCTAGCGGTAGAGACTTACTTCAAAGTGCTGTGCACGGTGAACAGCTCCCTCCTCCAAAGGAGGTGACTCAGTTAAGCAGTAAACACAGCACCTTATTCAACATAATTGCACTGACTCAGAGCCAACTACCTAGCACACCATGTCCTGCGTGGTTCACAATGCCCAGGTAACACCACCTCATTTGATCAATCCCAAATGTCACCTTGCAACCAATACAGATGAATTATACACTTAGCAACACTCCTTTCGTTAAACTATGTGCCATGAAGCTCGCAGCGGGCCCCATGGAGGACAAAAAGCAACAGAGGTATGAGAAAGAACCGGTATTTTCAGGTTGCAATGCCAAGTGCAAACACATTCCTGTCTTCAGAGCAGCCCTGCCTTCTGCAGAGAGTGTGTAAAGTCAGCCTGTAATATAGCCAGGATAGGCAGTGATTAATATATTAGCTGCAGATCCCAACAACCGAACCATCCACGGCTGCTGTGCACACAGCTGAAAATGCTCTCATCACCTATTAAAACAAAGTAGCTACAGAAAGCTACCCGAAATGCATCTAATTTTTTGTTTTAAATAAGGCAGGAAGCTTAAGGAAGAATGAAGCAAGTATTTATGCCAATTGCTTACACTACCAGTGAAATGGAGTTGAGCAATTTTTTTTTTGTTTCATGAAGAAAATGATCTCTTCTTATTCCATAAACTCACTTGCTGTAAGAGACAATTTACCTACTCCTTCCTCCACCATAAAAATATACAAACTACCCACTTGGAGGCTTGCAGGTGATTTAGATACAGGAGTGGCAAAGAGAGCCATTTTGAGGCTCCAGGACTGGCTGTGCACGCCTGTTTCATCTCCCTCCTGTTTTCTCTCATCTCCTCCACATTCCACGGGAAGGCAACTGAGAGGCCCGCGACAGGCACTGATAGTGTTTTACTCTGCTTGGCTTTTCCCACCACTGCCTACAGGAGCTCCGTCTGAACGGTAAGGGTGTGCATAGAAGAAGGGAAACAGAACTGCTTTTAAATTGTGGGGGGAGGGAGGAGAGGAACAAATCATAAAACCAAAAAAACCCCAAACCAAAACAAAAAAAATAAAACCAACACATGCATGGACACACACAAATGTCAGTAAACTTAAGATTTATTCCAAGTGATTAAAATGGAATTCAAGTGGTCCTGGCAAAATGTTTACATTTTGATGAGAGTTTGCTCAGCACAGTCTACTGCTGAAATCCAGAGATAAAGTATGCTAAACAAAAAGCAATATGAACAACAGACTGCAGAGTGTATTGGAAGTCCTTACTAGAACAGTTCGCTGCTTCAGAAATTAAAAAAAAAAAAAACCAACACAAAACCACCAACAAAACCCCAACAAAACAAAACATAAAAAACCCCCCAAACCCAGCAACATTTCAAGAAGGTAGGGTAAACGAGTTTTTTTTTAGTAAGACAGTGAGACTAAAACTGGTCCCATACTTTACGGAATTAATGGGTGCATACTTAGTGCTATGCTATACAAACAATTTTCAGCATTAAGCATGTCATTAGATAAAACTGACAGAGTAACAAACCAACATGTACAATTCCATTAAGAAGAGCAAGTGTTTGACGCTTGCAACCTGTATATTAAAATCAGAAATTTGCCACCTGTGAAGTGTTCATTGCCTCCTTACTAGAAACATCTCTCCTCTTTTGGAGGAAAAGCCAAATAGCCCAACAAGTTAACAGCAGTCTTCATCTTTTGTATCACTGGACGTGCTGCACTGTTCATTGTCAGCCTGAATCAAAGTTACTCAAATAACAATAGTCTGTTCCCTTGGCTGCCAGGCCAAGTCTGATATAGGGTGGACAAACTTTCAAATAACTCCTCCTGCTATCACCTGCCTCTTACTTGGGCAGCAGGGGATATCCATTCCTAGCCATGAGACTAGCAATGAACACAGAAATCACATGAGAACGACAATTCTTTTCACTTCACTAATTGTTTCAAGAACTTCTTTGAAGAAGCTAGTATTTGAATCCTAAAATCCAAAATGTTAGGAAGAGTTTGTATTATCTGGGTTCCCCCCACTCCCCAGTACATCATGAACTCAAACACCTAACTACTAATCATTTCAGCAGCTCAAAACAAGAAAAAAAGCTATCCTTCAGTTGTTCAAAATGATTCTACTGAAAACTCATTTGTAGTTAAAACAAGCGGGGAATTTCTCAATTTTTTTATTTAACTACATATTGCTAGTTCACCAGTGTTTTTACATCATCAGGTGCAACTAGCTAGTAAGGCAATATGCTTAGATTTAAATTGGTTAGCAGAAAGATTTATCTTCTTCAGAGCCAGCAACAATTCTGTCCACAGTAAGGGACTGGATTCTTACACTGTTTGTTCAACAAGTCTCCTGAATAATCTTTGACAAGTCAGTTGATTAGTCTCTGTCTTTGTTTCCAGCTGCAGATTGGGTTTCTGTTAGAATGTGCCAGCTCCTCTTTGCAAGAACGGCTGCCATCACAACAGTTCTTCATTTCTTAAAGCAATTATCTCTGGCTGTTGTGTTCAGCTCTTGGGGCACAACACAATCTTTTCTGCTTCGTTACACAGAGTGTATCATTAAAGTCCAGTTTAAACAGATTGTTATCTCTACTCTGCCTCTTTTCAGTCACAAATAGTTAAGAAAAGAAAGCAAACTAACTTCGAAATCACTTGTACCTGGTAGATGTTGCAGTATCAGATAATGAAGTGCTGTCTGGACTGGAAGTAACAATTTGCTGGACAAAAGCAAGCCATAAGCCATTGCTGAGGCAGAAAAGATTAACTCTTATTCCCCCATTTCAAGACAAAATGACATTATTTGCTAACAGAATCATAAGAGAAAAAAGTTTACCATACAGATAGTTTCACCAGTTTTAACTAACGCACTGTGAGCTCTTATGAGATCCTATAGGCACATGTAAATACTTCAGAAGACACATGGCAGAAATTGAGTTAGGATACCTAAAATGTACAGATTATTTTTTTCCTGAAGCAAAAAGATAAATGCAGTGGAGTCATTCACTATCAACAGTCAACATCCTAGACTGCACATGCTTAACACAGATAACATGATTTTTATAAATATAAAATGGTATGCAATGGGCTGTTTTCTAACTTCTGTTGTAGAAGGCATGCATGGTTCTAAATGACATCCCTCCATTAGTGTAATGGTCTTTTTCTCCTTAAACTCGTCTGTTCTGCAAGAGGTTTAAGACCACTTTCACTACTGGGAACTGCAGCCCAGCAGCAGCTAATCCCACTAGCCATAAAGTTTGCTTCAGATGCTGAACACAAATTATTTTTTCCAAAGAGGATATTCTCTACAATTACAAGCTAAGCATAAAACTCGATCGCAGTAATTATGAAAAGAAGGCATCAGGTTATAAGTGTGCTTTGGGGTAGACAACACTGTGTCCAAAGCTGTCAGCTTCTTTCAAATATTCAAGCTTGGAGAGTTTTTTTGCCACTGTACCAAGCTGTAACAATTAAGATGTCACCTTCAAATTGTTCTGGAGATAGACCCTCACAGAATAAAAGGGATATATGTCATTGCTTCAATTTTGTATGCTGACCTCAAACAATTCAGGCATTTAGCTCAGCAGCAACCATCTGTGTTTCTACTCTGCCATCCTAATCATGAAATAATTCTGAAGGGGACTTGAAACACAGAACCAATTAGGTTATACGTCTAACAAATAAGACTGACATACACAGTATGAAAACTCAGATCTCATTCTACCTGGGGATGTTGGGATAAGTGAATACAGGTTTAAGTTACAGGGATGCAGGAGAGAGACAAAAATCCACTCCTTGTCTAACACCTCACTTAACTTGCAGCTACCCTGTGTGCAGGATTAAGTACTTGGCCATAAGAAGTATCCATATAAAACTGTACAGCCCTCAAGACTGTACAGCAAGAACTGTGGTTGCTTCTCACAAACAATGCTCTGCTGCTTTTTTCAAAAGCAGTCACGCTTTTACAAACACACAACAAACTTAAACTCAGGCTTGCAAGAACCCTCTACTCAAACTGGCTGGTATGTACAAACACACCTATATCTTCCCAAAAATTTCTAGTTGCAGGTCTGAGTCACAACTGATTTGACCTAATCAAAGGTATACCCCCCTCTTGCCAAGATTATTTCCCAAGCAGACATTAACACAATGACTTCGGCTGACAAGAAAGTTGATGGCATTGGCAAAGGAAAACTTTCTCCACTCTGTAGAACAATGAAGGGCCAAGCACACACCCTAGTTTTGCCCCTTCTCTCTGCATCCGCAGCATCAAGAATTTCTATGTGACATGCCAGGCTCTGGGGTCCTACCAGACCAGCCTGCCTAAGGACAACAGAAGATGTGACAGGAACAAGTGAAAGACGAGAAAGAGACAACAGTGTTGTAATATGTTAGAATGGTTGAGGTGGAATTAAATTTGGCATCACTTAAACTAACACCCCACAGAGGTTCTGCACAAAACGTAACTCAAAAAGGCAGCTTTCTTACAGCATTTTTGTCAATATTGAGATTTAACTTTTAACTTTTAGACTGTTGCTTTAAACGAACAAACAAAAAAAAACCAAACACACACAAAAAAAAGCAAAGCGCTGCTACTCACTGCCACTTGTGCGGAATCCATGAACCTTAATCCAAAGTAGTCACTTTCTATAAGGTCCAGATGATACATGATCTGTTCAAACAGGAGCTGGCCTTTGGCTTTTTTCTGAAAATATAAAAGCATTTAGTACTTAGCAGATAAGATTTATTGTAACATCTACCTTCTTCTAGGCATACTTTATATTGAAATTCCCGAAGTAAGAGAATCCCAAAATTAAGCTTCTGACAATATTATATGGAAATTCTTTTGGGTTTCTCTCATATTTTTTGATGGCTGTTTTTCTTGAAGGCAAATGTACACCCCACAAGAAGCACACATAATACCCTTAAAGGACCTGCACAATCTCCTTTTTTTGGAAAATGTCAACACTGACTTGCACAACACAGAGTGTTAAAACATCATTTTATCATTGTCCCTTTCAGGCTTTCCTTACTCGCCAAAGTTCAGTAGAACTGGAAATATAGCTAGTACAATTGCAATAACTAACGTACTGGAAAATTTTCAAAGCAAAGTACAGCAAATTGCTTACGAATTTACCACTGCTTGATACCTAGGCAATTCACTAGTTTTGAAACAGGTAGCAAAGCATATTGAATGAGGATATAGCATTCCATCAGCAAGTGCTTTTAACAACTGCCAGGAAACAGTCTAGGGCAAGCAACTTCAACAAATAGTACTTAGATAACACAGTTACAAAAGCAAGTTCATAAAACTCACTTGTAGGTGCAAGAAGCCATCACATACACTGATACGTAATTTATGAAAAAAGCTTAGCTCTGGCCTCAAATAAACATTTTTACAGTGACGATCTAAAAAATTAAACAGTTGTTTTTAAAGAGAAGGCATGTAAATAGCACAGGGCAGTTTCTACACAACATAATTTTTTCATGCTATGATCTCCTTCATAGCAACACACTGAAGGAAAAGCTAAAGAGTAATACCTGAGATGCCTAAATGTAATAAAAATATATTAATAAATTAGCAGGTCAGCGTACAAATCACTGTGTTGAAAAGACATATTTTTAAATGCAAAGAAATTCAAAAAGGATTTATACTTACTCTGCAAGCAGTTTAAGGATATTTCCATAATGCTATCATCTTGCAATCTTTTATCTTAATATTTATACATTCATAACTTGACAAATGGGCTAACTTTCTAAGCATATTTTTTAGTATGCTACTTATTAGCAGATTTAGTCCACCTCTCAAAATCCAGGGCCAGCCAGTATTCTTATTCTCAGAAATAATCTGGTTTAAGCACCGAGCAATATCCATGTAAGTAAGGCAGCATGCATAGTTTTTACCACCTTCCTCTATCCTGATCTTCAAATATTTTATGTTCAACTTTGCAATCATAATCATTGGTTTACTTGATGCATTAGTTAAATCCAACATGACATTTCACAGCTCAAAGCAAAATCTCAGAAAAGTCTGTGAACGGAACCTGCCTAAGCAAGTTCTCCCACAGTTATTTATTTCCAAGTATTGGGGGAGGTAGAGGGAACGGAAGGCAATTAGACCAGCAGGCAGCTTCACGTGCACGCAGCATCTACAAAACGTCATCTAATGAAAGTGCCGAGACGTAGACCTCATCAAATTCGTTCAAGGGCAAGTTTTTTTTTTCTGTTGACTTCAAGAAAAAGTACTTCTCAGGCAATAACAGATTTATTAAATGCCAGCAAGACTCTCCTAACAGAAGCCTTAAGGCAAATCGCCTACATATAAAACCACATATTTCTTCCACAATTTGAGTCTGTAGCCTCTTTCTTGAAAGAGCAAGGCATTGAACTGTTGATATTTACTCTCAGCACAGGGTATCTTCTGCTTAAGCAAGAAGATATACTAATACAAGTGAAACCAATTCAGCATTTGCTACAGCAAAACAAGAAAAATGTTTTATTTTGCATGAAGCTTTCTGCAGCTTGTCTAAAACTAGAGGAAAATCTCCACTTATTGAGCAGAACATTTTAGATTCTTCTCAATTCCTCAGTAAATCATCTTTTAAAACTCTAATTGACCAGTCATCTCAGCCAAACTCCCTCCCAGGGACAGGCAATGGAGCACTTTGACTCGAGCCTGGAATTACTACACATACCATCTCAGACTACCAACAACTAAAACTTATCACTGTTCAAAATTCTGCAGTATCAGGTTAGTTTCAGAGCATGTTCGCCATTTCGGTAATCTCAGCAAAGGACTCAAAGATTAAGTGGACCCAGAATGACTAATGTGGGAGAAAGTCCCTGAAGAATAGCACTGGAGCAGCTGTGGAAAGATTTGCAGGGCTACCGGTTGTTTTCTGACTTAAATCACCAGAGCTGTCAACATGGAATTAATTATGCAGTACTTTGCATATGACTTAAACCATCAGGGCTGTATTTGGTGCCAGTCAGCAAAAGCTTCACACGTGCTTGAATGTTAAATTCAAATTCTTTCTTACAGCCTTACTAAAGTCCTTCCTACTTATATTTAAGCAAACGACAACCAAAAATATTACTGCTTTGTAACCAGTCAATTTTTATTAATCAAAAGGCATAGCAAAGATACACTTTCATTACATTTTCTGGTGAAAAATTACCCTCACTCTCTAATGGCAACAGTAATTTTAAATGACACTTTTATCCTGCTGCTACCCCATGCTCAGGTTCCTCTCAAAGGACAAATATTTTCAAGCTGCTTAAAGGTTACCAATGAACTATTAACGACTCCACTCACAAGCAGTCCAGCCAGTGGCTGGTCCTCCCTCCAGGGTACAAATTAAACTTCTCATGAGTTTGTAACTCTGTAAAACCCGACTACTTGATTTACACAGTTTGCTATACTCTGTCGGAAGCGACAGCAAACATCTCACAGCAGCACAATCAACAGGGAAACTTAAATAAAATCTATTACTTACATAGGGCAGGTCATCTAGTGGTTATGCCACATTTTGGAATGAGATTAAAGCATCTTCTGATCGCTTTGGTATGAATCGTGCCCCCGCCGCCCCTGAATGGAAGGGATGCTCCCAACTATGTCCTAATGACATCTCATGCTGCTCTTAATAACTGCAATTGCTGGCTGAGTAGGTGTTAGGCTGGACTTAACCCTGGTAGCTCAGCAGCAAGGTAAAGCCAGCTCTGGTGGTCACCTCAGCAGGTTGGTTCATCCCTTCATCGCCAGGATAAGGTGATACAGAGACATTCACCTTGGCTCGGGCATCTCAGTCACTGCCTAAAACTAGAGTGGCAGCATTTCTAGCCTCTTCTCATGGTCTCAGAGGTAAATGGTTTTTTCAGGGACACGCATTCAAGAGCATAAGCCACCAACTCAGCACTCCACAACTTGCCTGTCTGATGTAAAAGCCATTTTCAGTACTAGCAGCAGCCAGTACAAACCAGCACTGGTCAAGCAACACAAGTTTACAACAGCTGGGGATGAGACCCGTGTACTGGGCAGGCACCAGCTGAATGGCTCACTTTTTAAGGTTTTTGTCAGGTTTTTAATCACAAAGTACTTCAAGTGTCCAAAACTGGAAAAAAATAAAACCAAACCCAAAAAGCCCACCTAGTGAATTTACTAACGAAAATGCTTATCAGAAAAGGATTTTTCTCTTCTTCATTTCTTTTCTTTGTAAAGAAAAGGGGGTCCCTATATAAGATGAACTCTGTAAAAAAGAGATGAATAGGCTTCTACCTTCATGGGACTTATTATTCCTTGTGTCTTTACAACTGTACTTTTCAGAAGATTTCTTCAAATGATTATGTTCATATTGCTTATTAACAATAATTAACAGTAGCTATTGCCTTCAGTAGCTACTGAAGGACAAAAAACCCTCTCCCTGGTTTTTGTCAATTCATTAGGAAGGTTACTATTCATATTCATACCAGCTTCTTAAGGAAGACCCCATTTACCCCCCAGAGAAGCTAGGGACCCCTACTCAGGATTTACACCTACCCAGTTGCTAGGATGTCACCTAAGCACGTTTGCAGATCGTGGCAGTGTGGGAGTGGCAGATGAACCTGTCCATATTTCATGAAGTTAACCTCCCTTCTCCCAAGGGAGGTTTCAAAAAAATAAGCCATGAGCAGCCTCCAACAGTGATTTGGAGATTTCATCTCAATATCATGAAAACAGTATCTATAGTTAATACCATTAAGGTTTGCTGTAGAGTTGGAGAGTTAAAACCCCGTATCTTTACAAAGGCAGTGTTAGAAGTACACGTTATTTGTATCACCCTGATCTTCTTATGGCTTTAAGTACTGACCTACAAATGGAGTTGCTCCTCTCCTCAAACTCCAACCATCGATCTTTCAAATAACTTTTCCAAACTCCCCAGTCAGTTTTCTCCTCCACCTAAAGATGCCACTGGCAGCAAAACACCAGTTCTGCTTCTCTCTCTGGTTTATCCCCAGCCTTTGACAACATGCACCATATACTCTTGTACTGAATAAAACTACCTGCAGGCTGGAAAACTGCAGAGAATAATTTCTACCTCCAGAGACAGAACTTACAAATTCTTCTACTTACTCAATCTGTCCAAAATTTAGGAAGATAAGTGTTTGGGATTAAAGATTTTGTTCTGTTATTCTCTGGAGAAAGAAGGCGGCACCTCCCAAAAATCTTTATAAATAATTGGTTTCAATAGCCATCATACCTGTACATTTATTAGAATAATACATAGAAGGATTTTAATGTACTGTGCTCAGGCTTACTGACCCTATAAAAGTAAAAAGGCAAAGACTTAAAACATTTATACTTGTCAGGTTGTTTTGTCAGAAGTCTGTTCTCTTTCCTCTCCCAGAAAGTTTATATCTTCTGGTTACACATTTCATTTAATTAATTTCTGAATCTATTTGCTAATGTTCTTTCTGATACAGAATATATACAAAGTGTTTGTCCAGCCTTAAGGTCTAGAGATCAAATACCTCCTCCCAGTATATTCTCAAACATTTCAGTTTTATTTGGTGTTCCACCTGCAGGTTTCTCAGGAGCAGTCTCTGTCTTTGAGCGAGCTCTTTACAGGGGCAGCTCCGCAGGAAAGCAGGGCTTCAGACAAAATTCACTGTTCCGCTGCGATTTAGGAACGCTAAACCTTCGGGCAACTACACCAGCCTGCAGCACTA